CCCCCCCTCTCTCTCTCTCTCCCTCTCTCACTCTCGCTCTCGGTCTCTCCTCCTTTCTGACGTCCCTCCTCCTCGGTCGGTGGCCCCCATCAGGATTGTCCCGGTCACGGCGCATGCTGCCTTTGACAAGGCGGCCAGCTACTTCAACATCAAGATCTACAAGGTGGGCATCGATGGCAAGACCGGCAAGGTCAACCTGGCTGGCGTGCGCCGTCTGATCAACCGGAATACCATCATGGTGCGTCATCCGGGCGCCCCATTCTCCGGCCCCTGGCTTTTTGCCCTGCCTCGGGGAGCATGTTGCCCTCTTTCTTCCCGTCTCGTGGCCACTCTGCTGACCCTGCCGGCCTTTGTTCGCTTGCCCTGCCGGCCTTTGCTCGCCGGACAGCTTGTTGGCTCGGCTCCCGGGTTCCCCCATGGGATCGTCGATGACATTGAGGCTCTGGGTCGGATGGCGCGCCGCGCTGGCATTGGCCTGCATGTGGATTGCTGCCTCGGTGGCTTTGTGGTTCCATTCATGGAGGAGGCTGGCTTCCGCCTGCCCGGGCTCTTTGACTTCCGGGTGCCCGGGGTGACTTCCATCTCGTGCGACACGCACAAGTATGGCTTCGCGCCCAAGGGGTCCTCGGTGATCATGTACGCCACGCGTGCCCTGCGGGCGTATCAGTACTTTGTGACGCCGGACTGGTCGGGCGGTATCTATGCCTCGCCGTCGATCGCTGGCAGCCGGCCTGGCGCCGTGCTGGCTGGTGCCTGGGCTACCATGGTGTACATGGGCCGTGCTGGCTATGTGGCTGCCACTCGGCAGATGGTGTCCGCCGCGCGGCGCCTGACTCAGGGCATCCGCGAGATCGAGGGGCTCTATGTGATTGGCGAGCCGCTGATCACGGTGGTGGCCTTTGCCAGCGACAAGTATGACATCTTCGTTGTCAGCGCCGAGATGACCAAGCGTGGCTGGAACCTCAACACGCTGCAGTTCCCCTCCAGGTGCGCATCTCGCTCTCTCCCGCTCTCTCTCTCTCTCTCTCTCTCTCTCTCTCTCTCTCTCTGGTCAAACGAGTGGGAAATGGGGCCTGCACGGACTGCTTCTCTTGACCCCCGGCCCTGGGAAACTGACTCTCCTTTTTGTTCACCCTCTTCGCCCCTCCCCCCTGGCCCTGGACTGCCGCTCGATGTGTCCTCTTCGTGCTCCCCCCCCCCAGCATTCACTACTGCTGCACCATGCTCACCACTGACCAGGTGGTCAACCAGTTCCTCGCCGACCTGGGTGAGATTATGACCGAGGTTCGCCGGCACCCGGATGCCAAGCCCACCGGCACGGCGGCCATCTACGGCATGGCTGCCGCCCTGCCCGATCGGTCGATCATCTCCGAGGTGACCACCACCTTTGTGGATGCCCTGTACAAGGCGTAAGACAGAGGCATCCCACAGGAGGCGGCACGGGGGGCCGGCGGAGCATACTTGGCAGGCATGCCGCCCCCCCCCCCCCCTTCCCCTTTTTGTGTGCCCCCAACCTGGCAATATAGTTCCCCATGGATTGTGGTTTCGGGGTCCGCTGGCACCTCGCTCTCGTGATGTGGTCACACCGCTCTTTGTTATTGGCCCGATGTTTGGTGGCCTTGCGTATGTGCATGTGTGTGGGTGTGTGTGCGGGGGCGGGGACGGAGACGGACGGTCGCCGGGGGGCGGGCCAGCGGGGAACGTCCCCGGCCGGCCGGTGCTTGACGCGGCATTTTTTTTTTCTCGGGGCGGGGCACTTCCTTTGAGCGGGAATCAAGCCATCATCTGCCCCCTCCTGTCGCCCTTTTGCCCCGACCATACCCTTCCGTCGCTTTTTTTCTCTGCCCTCCCCATCATGTCCACACCCGCCAAGTCGGTCGTGGAGGATTCCCCGCCCGGCGTTGCCGCCGAGCAGCCCCCCCTGCGGGTGCCCTTCTCGGCCACCATTCCTGACACGCCGATTGTCGTCTCGGCCATGAGCATGGACACTTTGCAGTCGGCCAAGTCCGACCTGGCCGACCGCATCCAGTCCCTGGTTACTGATGCCGGCAATTCGGTGAAGCACTGCATCCGGGGGACGAACGTGCAGAATGTATGTGCTTCCCTTTTCCCGCGCTCACACGTGTCCTTCCTCGGTTCGGCACGCCGATTTCCTGACCCATTTCTCCCGCCTCCCTCCTTGGATGTCCCTTCCTCGCTGGAAGGAGCTCGCACGAATGAGCAAGAACCTGGCACAGGCCGAGCCGGATATCCTGTCCACCGGCCAGGTGCGCCCGGAGCCCCTCTTGGCCCTGCTCGCACATGACGCACATCTAACCAGATCCCCCCCCTTCGCGGCTCCTCTTCTTTCTGCGACGGACAGAGCGTCCGGCAAATGCACATCAGCGTAAATACGCTCATTGGCCAGTGCGTTGGGTGTGTGTTTGCCGCCCTTCAACCTGATCTTCCACTGACTGCGTCTCCTTCTCCGTTTGGTCATTCTCCGCGGGCGCGCACCTGTGTGCTTGCAGGGCATACGAGGTTGAGCGGCACATGCAGGCCATCAGCTCGATCATCGAGCGGGCTGACCCGTCGATGTGGCTGGTCGAGTGATTGCGCCCCTGCCCTCAGTGTTTCAGAATCAATGCATGTCAATCCCCTCATTTCTTCACGACTTTCCCTGATCCGCCCACTTGGCGTACACTTGATGGGCTCGGCTCGGTCGAGTGGCCGCAGGCGGGGAGGGAGAGAGAGAGAGGCAGCGGGAGAAGCCGAGAGAGCAAAGCAGAGGGGGAACCGAGAGAGAGAGAGAGAGAGAAAGAGAGAAAAAGAGAGAGAGGAAAAGAGAGAGAGAGAGAGAGAGAGAGAGAGAGAGAGAGAGAGAGAGAGAGAGAGAGAGAGAGATCGAGAGAGAGACGGGGAGGGAGAGAGAGAGAGAGAGAGAGGAAAAGAGAGAGAGAGAGAGAGAGAGAGAGAGAGAGAGAGAGAGAGAGAGAGAGAGAGAGAGAGAGAGAGGTAGGGAGGCGGGGGACAGGTAGGGACATATGCGCTTTCATGGCGGCTGGGCTGGGCCTGTTGCGAGGGTCGGGGCAGATCGCGGCCGATCATGGCCGATGCGTTGGCACTCTCGCTCGATGTGCTCCCAACCGAAGGCTTGCCCCCGCCCCGAAGGCCGCCGGAGGGCCGGTTGTCTGACTCACTTGGGTCGCAACAGGGCGGGCATCATTAGAGTGCCCCCGGGGCGGTGGTTCTGAGAAAGGTCTCCGGGTAGCTAGATCACCTCCCTTCGCGCCTTCCTGGGTTCCTTCCTCTCCCTGGCTGTCTTTCCTTCTCGCTCCCTCCCTCCCTGCCCCCCCCCCTCCCCCCCCCGCCCCTGTCGATACACCACCATGGCTGACATCGCTTCCGGCTTGCTTGCCGCGAAGCCCGAGGTGGCCAGCCTCACGATCGCGGGCTTCAGCTTGAAATCCATCCTCGCCACCTTTTTCCTGGCTACCTTCCTGTTTGAGGTGCGTCACGCTCCGGCCGATGTCGCATGCCCTGGGTGGCCCGCCGAAGGGATGAAGTGTCGAGGCGGGGACCGGGGAGGCTTCCTTCACATGCTCACACGTAGTCCCTCCGTACCTCCACCTGGCAGCGTTATATCTCGGTTCGGCAGATCCGGATGACGCGCATCAAGAAGCGCCCGGCCATCTTGAATGGCATTGTCGACGATGACGAGAAGTTCCTCAAGACCCAGGGTATGTGTTCTCATCGGCCTGGGGGTCGCGCGCCGGAGCGTGTCCGGATCAGCCCCTCCTCTGCCCGTCTCTTCGCTGGCCATTCCTGACCTCCTCATGTGTCAGATTACTCCTACGACAAGCTGGTGTTCGGCTTCGTCACGTCGACCCTGGAGATGTTCAAGTCCATGGTCTTCTTCCACTTTGATCTGCTGAAGGCCACCTGGGATCTTTCGGCCCACCTGCTGGAGGCGTATGGTCCGGCTTCGCTTGCGGGCAACCAGCTGGCCATTTCGCTCATCCTGCAGAACATCCTCTTCTTGTCGGAGACCCTGTTGGAGCTGCCCCAGTCCCTGTATTACAACTTCGTCATTGAGGAGCGGGTGCGTGTCAAGCCGGCCGTTCGCCCCCCCCC